AGAGAGAGAGAGAGAGAGAGAGAGAGAGAGAGAGAGAGAGAGAGAGAGAGAGAGAGAGAGAGAGAGGTTACAGGCAGAGGTTACATCGGGCTATGAGGCCCAGGATCTGATTTGGCATTTTTGTGGCAGACATTGATTGGACGTTCGGCAGGAAGACTATTTTTGCATTTCGCTATCGCGATCTTGGGCTTCTCCCTCATCTCCATCTTCGTTTCGCCCCTCCTCCCTCACCTCGTGCGTGGTATCTCCCCATGTGTGCGGTCCCTCCTCCCCTCTCACATGTGTGATGTGTGATGGTTGAGTCGTGTCAGTATCTGACAGGTCAGGGCATATCTTTGAGTCTTCCGCTGCGCTACATTGTGCTATTTTTGTATGTATCTGGATGTACTTTGCTTGTTGACGCTTCTCTGATGCTGCATTGTCCATTCGAGTCTTTTTCATCGCTTTGCGGATACTTTGGTTTCATATAAATTGCTCGATCGAGCATGTATCAGCCTGTCTGCTTGTCTGTCTGTCTGCCTGTCTGTCTGTCTGCCTGCCTGCCTGCCTGCCTGCCTGCCTGCCCGCTTGCCCACCCGCGCGCGTGGCCGCTCACCTGCCCGCCCGTCCTGCCCACTTGGCTGGGTGGCTGGGTGGCTAGCTGGCAGGTGGGCGGGCTGGCGGGCTGCTGGGGGGGCAGGCCTTTGGGCTGGGTGGGTGGGTGGGTGGTGGACGATCGTGTGGGCGGCCGGCCTGCCTGCCTGCATGTCTGTCTGCCTGGTGCTATCTCCCCATCTCTGCCTGTCTGCCTGTCAGCCCCAGTAGTAGAGCTTTCTGGCGGTCTGCCTGTCAGCCTAACAGGAGGGCCGTTCTGCCTGGGTGGCTGTGTCTGCCTGTGGGTCAGTGCAGTAGTAGAGCCGTTCTGCCTGGCTGGCTGTCGGTCTGTCTCTAACTCCTGGCCTGGCTTTCTGTATGTCTGGTTGTCTGGTGTGATGGTGTAGGCTGAAAGTGTGTGGAGTCTTGCATATGGCTGCTTTGACTTTGGGTCAAGATAAACAGATTACAGCCTGAAGCATCGGTAAGGAACAGGCTGTTGAGGTTCAGCCTCCTTGCTTACGATTCGATGAATGTTTGACAAAACAGTACGTCACGTCCCGGTGTTTTTCCGAAATTTTGTTTGTCCTTTTCTACCTTTCCATCTGGGCCTCGCCACGGAAGGGGGTGGCGTTGGATTCTCCTCAAACGCTAAGGATGATGGCAATAGACTTGAACTTGCTTTTAAAGTAACAGGGGTAGTAGGCAATATGGCAAACGCTAACCCGTAACTTGCTTTGAAAGTAACTGGGGTTAAGGTTAGTCACTTGATAGATAGTGATTTGCTTTGAAAGTAGGTGGGGCAGTAGGCAATATGACAGACTGTAGCTTGCTTGGAGAGTAACTGGGGTTAAGGTTAGTCACGAGATAGATAGGCATAGCTTTGCAAGTAACTGCTTGGGCTAAACCACTAGCACACGGGCCCAGCCTTGCAGTCCGAAACTTGTCACCACAAGAAAACGGGTCCGAAACGTCAAACGGTGGGCCCGCCGTTGATAAATTGGATTGGTGGTCACGTTTTCGTTTCGCGCTTCCAGAATTTGAGGTGTCAGGCCCGCGGCCCAGGTGCCCATGTACTGGTGCTTTAAACCACCAGTACATGGCACCAGCCTTGCTGAAAAGAAACTCGTCACCCATCCGAAAATGGTAGTATGTCCTTGCATACCGGAGTATGTCTACGTGTGTACGCGAAACCCGCGTGCGCATACTCCGTGCTACCCAGTTTTAGTGTCAATTGAGCATCCGCGCGTATGGGACCACTTCTACTTTTGTACGGGAAAGCCGCATAAACGTACTCCGTGCTACCCATTGTTAGTGTCAATTGAGTTAATGTTATCTCCACTGATTCTCCAGTCTATTTTTTTGTTCTTAAAGTTTTAAACGTCTATTGAATTTGTAAACGGTCCATGTGGATTCGAACTCAGGTCTGCATTTCAACTGTTGTTGGTGTAGCAACTGAGCCACGCCTACTGGTAGGTTTTAAAATTTTAAAGTTTTTTTTTTTTTTGCTATTTCTGTGTTGCCTAGTCATGTTCATTTTTCTGTTGTTGTCTTCTGTGGTGCTGAGATGATTCCCATTTCTTAGAAAGAGGCGGTTAAGAGCTGCAGGCGGCAAGGGTGCGGGTGAAGGATTTGCCTGAGAGGGGGGCATTTGAGCAAGTTTCTTGGCTTGGCGGGKACACGAGTTCGTTGTCAGGGGCACAAGTTCGTTGTCAGAAGAGCTTCTGACTGCAAGGGTCCTGGTGCAGGATTCACCAGCAAGAAGGGCATTTGAGCAAGTTTCTTGGCTTGGCGGGGGCATCTAACAACCTAGTGAAGCAGCAGAGCCTGAACAGGAGTAGCAGGTTTGTCCTCGAACACCAACCAACTGGCCTAGCTCAGTTGGTACACCCCTGAACTGTTGAAATACGGACCAGGTGCAGAGTTCGAACTCTACTGGAAGCAGATGAGTGTTTGCCGTCAAGGGCACGACTCCGCACGAGTTATCCCTTAAGCGAACCAGATCACTGACTGAGCACGTGGGCGTGCACAAGTTTGCGTTCAGCGATAAGTTGGTACAGTGTGCTACTACTCGCTGCAGGCGATCCATCGTTCATCGTTCCGTCTCCCAGATGTGATGCCAACACCACCTCTGAAGGGGGAAGAAAATTTTGAAAGACGTCGAACCATTGCGCACTTGTGAAGTGCAGCATTGGATGTGCGAGCCTCCTACCGTTCTCTAGTTGTATCCATATGTACAGAGTCTACAGAGAGCTGTATAACTATAGAGGATATGCCGATGTTGACTATTGCTATGATGTTTTTGCTGTGCGAGACTCCGACAGGCTATGAGTGCTGACGTTTGAAGTGTCAGATCTTACAGAGGAAGGCACATTAGCTTCTTGGTCCTTTCCTTTCCTAGTACAGGAGCTTGGGTTTCTTCGTTCTTAGTTATTTCTACTCTATAGTCTTTCAGTATATACTACTCTGTAGTCCTTTTTTTTTCTTTTTTTTTTTTCACCAAACACACTCGCCCCATCTGTTCTGGGGGCCACTAGCGCGGTTGTGCTTTACCGGCAAGCTAAGAATTCAGAGAAACAGACTGAAAAGTCAGGAAAAAGCTCAGACCAGAAAGTATAGGTAGGGTCCTTCCTGGCCGGCCCTAGTCACCTGCCTACAGTGGGGCTATGACACGGGGGCTCTTTCCCAAACCTCTGTAGTCTTTCAGGATATAGTATATACTAGTTGGCTATACAGTGCTTCGTTCTCTTTATGTTTATGTCTATTCCACTCTATAGTAGAGTCCATTGTCTTTCAGTATATACTAGTTATACTCTATAGTAGAGTCCATTGTCTTTCAGTATATGCTAGTTATACTCTATAGTAGAGTCCATTGTCTTTCAGTATATGCTAGTTATAGCATGTCTATACTATACTTTATAGTCTTTCAGCATATAGTATATACTTTATACTAGTTACTAGACCATTGGCACTGTATAGCTTGTATGGTATGGTTTGCAATTTGCTAAACATTCAGTGTATTGCAGGTATTGGTCTTTGGGAGTGGGAACAACAGCTCAGCAAGGAAGCACAGTTCATTGCAAGTCCCTTGGGTACCCAGCCTGAGGGAATTGTGATTTCAAGTTCCATGGCTGGAAGGAGCTAAGACTTTACCAGTTGGCTAGATTTAGGGCACCTACTCTCACCCGAATTTCATGGACTGCAGTTGACTGTAAATGCCCATCGTGCACACTCTTGAAAGTCCTGTTGTGAACACAAACTCGACCTAAGTGTTGCGGTCCTGGAGTGTTCCTGAGCTCTGACAGATAAGGCTCACGTGACTTTTCCGCGTCGTTTCCTGGTCCATCTGATGCCCGGGGAGGGGGGTGGGGTTGGGGGTTGGGGGTTGGGAGTTGTGTGGCTTCAGAGATCACTCCAGATGGAGGAATGAATGAGCAGGACCACCCTCGCTAAGGAGACTGTTCTCTCTCTCTCTGATGGCCAGAACCACCTACAGAACACTCCAGTTTTTCATACGTTGTACGTTGCTTGGCAAGTGCGATGCGCCTGTCCAATTGCTTCATGAAGGCAAATGTTATCTCATCCGTCCCGCCTGCATCATCTGAGACTGGATTCGGGTCCTCCATCCGCACTGGGGCGCGTGCAGCGCAATACGGTGGCGATCTTTTACATGCCGGAGTGAAAGGAGACAGCTCGTAAAAGGCGGATGCTATTCTCTCTTCCTATCCGCTTGTCACGCAATTGATCTTGCGAAGATTACGCTCGTTGTTTGTTTTCCTCTCCTCAGAGTACTCTGCAGCTGATCATGGCGACGCATTTGATGGCTACATCGATGCCGAGCGTTGCAGGATGCATTGCCACTGCGTCGTCGCAGGACTTTGAGCTTCATCATGTCACCATGGGTGGGTGTGGTTGCTGTGCCAGCAGTAAGGCGATGGCGATCAGAGACGGAGGAAGATTGCCATGGTGGCGCCAGCAGCATGGGCAACCTGGTTATCGTTCTGCCGATTTGGTATCGTGGCTCGCTCCTGCATTTCCTATCGCCTTTCGACTTTGTCAGTCGCAACCGGCCACAAGGCAACAGTGTCTTGAGTCGCCGGCTCGCACAATTCGTCCATGGAGAGGCAGAGTAGGTATCCAGAGGGTCCAGAGGAAGAATGTCTTAGTTGCGATGCAGCAACAATGTCCAGGGTCCATGGAGGGTCAGCACCACCAGTGGCTTGGCCCGGGGTCGCTGGCCCCGGCGACGTTACGTAGGGTAGGCTTGTTCTCTGGTGAGAAGGGGGGGATGGTTTTTAGTCGGCCAAATGCGCACTTGCGTCGCTTTGGCAGCTGTGCTGCCAGGCAGGCATCACTCATCCAGGGGGGGAAGCACTGGATGCCGTATGCCTTCTCGTGCGCGTATCGGAAGAGGAACAGCAGTTGCAATCCAGGTGAGGGGGTTGTCATTGCTTTTTCGTATCGGATTCCGAGGTCGATGCCGAAGCATGGGGACGAGGTTAGTCGTTGGCCAGTTGGTGGATGCCGAGGCCGTGCTGCACGATCGGCATCTCCTGGCTGTACACACGTCGGCAAGGCGTTGCGCACTGCTGCTCGTCGTAGCCTACGTAGGCCACGAGGCAGAGGCGGCGTGTGCCATGCTTTTCAAGGGCCTGGAGGTGGTCGTTGGCCATTTCGTCAATGGCAAGGCCTTGCTGCACGGTCGGCATGTCCTGGTTGTGCACGCATCGGCACAGCATTGCAAACTGCCAGTCGCCGTAGCCTATGTAGGCCACGAGGCAGAGGCGGTGTGTGCCATGCTTTTCAATGGCCTGGAGGTGGAGGAGGAGGAGGGGATGATGATGGGAAGCTGATGAGGCAAGTAGTGAATATCACGATCGCTGGTGGCCTGACCTATCTCCTCTTTACGGGTCGACTTGGTTGGGTGTTCGATACCATTCTTTACCTTTGGCTATTTGCAGCTCTAATTCCTTTCGTAGGCTTCTTTGCCTTCAATTGGTGGCTGGAGCGCAACCTCGTACAGGGACCATGCCCTACCTGTGGATTCGATTGCCAAGTGATTAAGGGCTTTTTAGGGGAAGGGGACACATCTATCTGTCCTAACTGTGGGCAGTTGTTCAGGGTTGAAGGAAAGAGCTTTGTACGAGACACGCCAAGGTGGTCGGACGAGGACGCCTTCGGGCAACAAGGTTTCTCACCGTTCTCCTCGTCGAGTCGAAGGGATGATGATGGTCCGGGAGGAGGACCTGGTGTGATCGTTGACGTGGAAGCGGAGGTTCTTGATGACGACTAGGAGATCTACTAACACAGGGTGTTGACAATTGTATTGTTTTATGAACTTTTATCTACCTGATTGCTTTTCTAAGGAATGAATGGAAGATATGGTGGTGGTGGTGTTTTTTTTTTTCTTTTTGTAAGCAGCAGCAGCAGAAACATTCATATAGACGGTGGCCCTCCATCAGGTTAGGCATAAGAGCCGCCTATCCTGATCGACCCCCCCCCCCCACCCCTCTTCCCTCCTTCCCAACTCTTGTGGCGGCTCCGTTCCATTTGCTGGGAGCAGCACATGCTGGGAAGCTCTCTTGGTGTCTCTCAATACTTGAAAGTTGAAACAGCGGAATCATCATTTGAACAAGTTTTGCCTTCTAGGCGCAACCGCCTCTCTCCTCATTATCAGCAGCACGGTGATACTTCAGGGAAAAAGGAAAAGGAAGGGCATTCGGACCGCATTCCTTTTGGCACTTGAGTTTACAGGAATGATATAGTGATGCTCCGTGCGGGGATTGATATGCTTGGCACTGCTCTCCTTCCCCACCTATCCTGCCTGTGTCAGCTAAAAAAAAAAAAAAAAAAAAAAGAAAGAAAGAAAGAAAAAAAGAATGAATGAATGAATGAATGAAAAGTTGTTGTTGTGTAAGTGTAGGTTACTGGTCGAGGAACCAACTGGCCTAGCTCAGTTGGTTTACCCCTGAAATTTTGAAATACAGACCCGAGTTGAAACTCCAGTGGAAATATACGAGTAAAATGCTACAGTTCCTAGGCTACCAGAGTGGCCCGGGACCACTTGCCTGGCCGGGCCAAAAAAACTTAAATATAAAAAAATACTCTTTAACTTTTTTTTTTTTTTTTTTTTGGGGGGGGGGGGGGGGCGCGGGGTAACCCGCTGTCCCTCACATGCGTGTAGGTGGCTCCCAACTATGAGCGAGACATCACCGGCTAATCCCACATTAGGAGTCACGGAACTTGTCCTTCTAATACGGATTCAACCCAGATTCCATGTCTCCCTAGTTTCCATAACATGCGACCGGAAATTCCAGGGTGACCGGGACCCAAAAGATGGCCGACTTCCATCCCACCGAAGGAAAACAATCCTGAAAAAGTAAAATAGAACAAAAAGAAAAGCAAACAAAAGAGTAGTGAAAACCAAAGCGGAGAGCTATATCTACGATTGGCAAGAATCAGAGCAGCTCAACATATTTTCATGCGACGAAGAAGGCGGAGAATTCCAGCTGCGGGTTGGCACCCTGGGGCAACTGTACTTTGAGCAGGTCAGGGAACCGATCCCAGTGCTGAAGGAAAGTCTTCAGTGCCCGCGATGCGTATCCTTATGTTTTTCACTTTGAGAGACCACTCTGTTGAGATGGTCTGTTTGATGACAAACTTCACCTCCGCGCTTGTCATCGCCGGAGTCAACCTCCCTATGGATCGCAGATTTCCTGAGCGTCCAGAGTGTCCAAAGTATAGACCCTCGGAAGGTCTCTTCCGGAAACGCCAGCGGCCCATTGTGTTGATGGCGTCGTGTGATCTCCCCCAGAAGGATGAAGTTGTCAGTCCATCTGTTAGCCAAGTCGGGAACTGGGACGGATCCCGACCTCCACCATTCCCAAAAAGGGCGAGTGAGCTCACAATGCAGAAGCATGTGCTGAAGGTCTTCAATCCTCGTTCCAGGGCACAAGCAGCACAAAGGCGTGGCTTTGGCCATGCATCGACCGCACCAAGAAGCAGTAGGCACCACGAGGTGCTCCACGGGCCACAAATGGCTCGCTTGTTTGACCACCGGAAGGTCCAACAGCAATTTCCAGTATCCCGAAAAACCCTGTACTAGTCTCGGGAGTGTGTCTTGCATCCATCCTGTCGCCATCCATCGTCTCACCACAGTCCAACTGACGTCAGTCCGAGGTCTCATAAGGTTGTAGCCCAGCCTTGTACTATACCGATAAAGGAAAACCGGCTGCTGGTTTCGGCGGTCCTCCAACCAGCCCCAGTCCCTCGGTGAGTCTGGTCCACCAGCAGGACGTAGCTGTGCCAGGCAAAAGGGGCGATTTCCTTTCCGAGTTTCCAAAGCACACACAGGCTGCATCTCCGTTTCTTGTGGCAAGGGTGGCGGATTCGTGGCCAGTTGCATCTCCCGACCCAGCGAACGCGAGGCGGAGGGCGTAGCCCAGCACACCATCTCATCCGTGTGCTGTCTTTTGGTAAAGAATTTCGATGTGACCCTGAGGCAGAAGTTGTTCACTTTACTTTTCTGCATAACATAGTTTTTTTTTTTTTTTTTGCTGGGACCTCCTTTGGCCCTTGCATGGCCGGGCCGCACGGGCAAACAAGGTCACCCGGGCGGCCCGGCTGGTAGCCTAGGTATTTTGTATTTCAAATTTGGTAAAGAATTTGGATGACCCTGAGGCAAAAGTTGTTCAGTTTATTTTTCTGCATAACTTCTTCTTTTTTTTTTTTTTTTTTTTTTTTTTTTTGGTGGGACCTTCTATGGTCCTGGAATGGCTGGGCCGCCCGGGCAAACAAGGTGAACCGGATCGTCCTGCAAGTAGCCTAGTAACAATTCTGAATACCTAGGGTCGGTCAATTCCATGAGGATATCTCAAGGCCTTGGCCCTTTATAGCTCTGCATATGATTGCAGCCAGATCAGCCAGAGACATCCTGATCTGGCTGTAATTGCAGTCAGATGCATTCTGGAAAGTGTTGATGAGAGTATGCCCTCATGTGGTGAAATTTAATTTTGTTTTTTCTTTTACAAAAAAAGACTGAAATTTGAAATTCCAAATGCCAAAAACTTGGAAAACTTGGAATTAAAGACCCATTCTCGCTTCTAACACTTCCCTATAAGATCCTAGCCAAGGCTTTTGCCTCTCGAATCCTAGACCTGACAGACAAATGCTTTCATATAGACCAAACAGGCTTCATCCTTGGGAGATACATTCTGGACAACGTACTAACCCTGAACGTCCTGGACAATGTGCTGACCCTCAACGAAGCGGCCAACAAAGTCAGAGAAAAAAGGATAAACACAACAATTCTTTTTTTTTATTTTGAAAAGGCTTACGACCACGTCAACTGGGCCTCTCTCAATGCAAGCATGGAAAAGATGGGAGTGAGCCCGAATTTTAGGAAGTGGGTGCACATTCTGAACAATGACGCCATAAGGTGCGTCCAAGTGAATGGCTTGCTGTCTGATTGCTATCCAATTTTTCGGTCAGTTCGCCAAGGGGACCCGCTAGCTCCCCCAATCTTCCTCTTCGTGATGGAAGCAATAGCCTCATTCCTACGCAAAGATCCTTCCATACACAGGCTACCAGAGGTCAATGTAGGAACGGCCCACCACCGTCAGTTCCCAACAGTAATAATGTTTGCAGACAGTTTCACGGTCCTCATAAGAGATTCAGACTCATTGTTTAGCGCATTAGTAGTAATGGAACCGTTCAGACTAGCATCAGAAACGAAAATTAATTGGAAGAAAACAATCGGCTGGTGGCTATCAGAGGAGGAGGTTCCCCAGCTCCAAGGCCCCAAGGCAGACATGACATGGGAGACACCGGAGACCCCTACACGATATCTAGGCATCTTGCTGACAAAAGACGGCTTTGCCCTCAAATGGCCCAAAATATACTCGTCAAACTGGGCAGATGGGGTAGCACATTCACATCATTGCTAGACCGAGCACTCGCCATCAAAACATCTATTTTTTCAATGATGTGGTATATAGCATCAATCTGGACAGTTCCAGACCGTACAATCAAGGAACTTAACTGCAATGCAAAAGCATACTTGTGGTCGGGCGACCCCAACAAAGAGAACTGCAACAAAAAGAACTGCATACCAAAGATAGCCTGACATTACACCACAAGGAAACCAGCTAGAGGAGGTCTTGGTAATAGTCGGTATCATAGACCCCAAACAGGAAGCTAAAGCCTTACAAGTTAAATGGATAGGGCCTCGTTAGACCCCCTTTAAAAATTCGATTTTTAGGAAATCGGCGTCGTTACACTGCGTCCTAATTCACCAAATTCCTTGAATGAATGTGAAAACGCTCCCGAGAGATTTCGTTGGATTCCTCAGGATCCCCAGCCAATACGTCCTTGGATTCAAGGGGTCCTCGTGAGGTCCCTTGGGTTCAAGGAGCCGCGATTGACGGAGTGTTCTGGAGCGAGCGTTGACAGGAAAATTTGGAATCGATGTTGGTGCACAGGTCGTCCGTGGTCCATTGGGCGGACATCGCCGAACTCTAGTACCCGACGGGCCCCCAACGGCCTTCCCCCGTTACCGTTGGCGTGGAAATGCGTGGGGGTGGTTCTTGAGCTGCAAGGCGCTTCACGAAGCAGGGTTTTCCATACACGCGTCGCCTGCTGTGATGTCCTACGATCAAATTTTTTTATTTGTCTACAACCGATGTTGAAGCATTGTTGGTCGATTGCAGGCATCTGCCTAGCACCCACCACTCGTTCGCCTGGCGGCGCCCTCACTGCACATTCTGCACGTCGATGGGGACCTCGCTTGCACTCTCCACGTTTCACGAAAGCTTTACGTTCGTGCTAAGCTGTGACGACCCTAGGAGCATGTAGAACACGAAGGCGACGTTGCATACATGCCACACCCCCCAACGTTCCAATGCCCTCCTTTTTAAGCCATGACCGCCATCACTCCTCCGCACATACGTTTCGCCCCAGTTTTCAGTCCAGCTGCCATCACTCCTTCGCACGGATGTGTTACAACGGAGGGTTCAAAATTTGAAATTGGAACAGGGATGTTGGCGCCCTTTTTCTTCGTCAGCTCGGTAGGCCTTCCCGCCACTGCCACTGGACCAAGCCCGAGGACGCACGAACATCCCAACATGATGACGGACATCCGCCCCCACTGCCGCGCGTATGCGTATGGAATTGGCTGCTGGAGACCTCCAACGAATTTCCTTGAAACCCATTGAATTAGGACGCGGTGTAACGACGACGCCGAAAACCGGAAAATTTTCTAAGGACTTCATCCTAATTCCCGAGGATTTTCCAAGGAGGGTCTAACGAGGCCCATAGTTAAACTACTGACTAAACCTGGTACGACATGGAATAAACTAGCCTTGGATAGCATCAGGGGCCTACCACCTAC